AAATTGTTGAAACTGAGAAGCCATCAAAGGGGCGATTATATTTTGGGTGCTCCGATTCAAATTGTGGCTTTCAAGAATGGTGCACTCCCTACTCAATCAATTGCATATCAACTGGAACAACATCATCTAGAGCTGGAGAGGGAATTGAGCAAATGGTTGTAGGCATAAAGACTAGGGTTCATGTTCTTGAAGCTAAACAAGAAATGGTGAAACAAATGGTGGTTGGATGTCTTTTTCTGTATTTAATAAAAAAAAAAGGTCAACGCTGGAGTCCGGCATTGACCGCCGATCGAGCGAGTGGCTCTTCTAGGCGGGCAACTGTGTGACAAGACTACAGAAAAAGCAGCGCTTTCGTGTAACATGTTATGGTCGCAACGTCCTTACGAGGTAGTGATGAGTTTCAACTTTCACGCGCTCTAAGCCCGGCCCTAAGCAGCTAGGAATATTGGCTGCAATCTAAGTGGTACTACCCGCCCTACGCTACCACCTATAGGCTGTCGTCTGTCCTATAGTAACCTGAAAATGAACTGCAGTGATCTTAAACAGGAATCCTACAACGATAGATAGAATCCGCATATAAATACCATTAGCTCGAGCATCAGTGATTTCGTGTCATGTATCTTGGGCGGTTGATCGAAGTGGGCAGCTCTAGTAGACCCATAGATCATGGAATAAATAGGGAGGGTAGGCCCAAGCTCTAGCGCTAGACAATTTTTTTTCATAATTAAAGGAAAAAAAAAGAAAAAAATCAAAATCGAGTTTTCTTCGTCGAAATTTGTGAAGTTAAAGTTAAATTAAGGTTACAATTAGGAATTGAGTTTAAAATTGGGATAATTTTATTATGTATATTAAGTATGTCTTTGTTTATTACACATGTTAAAGGGGTAAATGGGTAGACTTATTCTTTTTTTGGCGCAAGGGTTAAGCTTATTAGTTAAAGGAATAACCCACCTGAACCTATATTTACAAGTTTCTTCTTTTTATTTTTTCTATATTTATTTATTTATTAATTGGTTCATTTATTTAATGATCAAATTTATTTTATAACAATTATATAATTTCCTGCGTAGTGGATTTGTATGAATAAAGTTATTTAAATGTATAATAGTGTAATGGGACGTGCTAAATTCCACATTAAAAATTACTAAATCCTGCACATAAATAAAAAATAATTCACTCTCTTCACGTTCAATTTCCTCTGACTTCTCTCTAACTTCTCTCTAGGTTTTGAAATTAACAAATTAAAATAAATGAATCAAATAAAAAACAATCAAAACTTCATATCTTCTTAATTACCACAACCCAGCCTCCACCAAGCCCCACCCCAAAACTCCACACACACTCGGCGTGTGCCATGAACGCCAATTCCATGGCAGAAGCACCTTCTTTCCTCACCGACAACCATTTCGGACGGCGACCCAACTCCACCGACACCACACAACTTCTTCACCAAAATTTATTTTCGCCAAAAAATTACCATAACATAAAAAATCGATGTTAATTCGCACATAAAATAAAATTAACTGGGAAAGATAAACTGATTACTTTAACTGTAGAATAAATTTGTGAAGATTTTCCCAAATCTCAAATATAGGATTGTTAGAGCATCTCCGACCGGTCACCATATCGCATTTTTTCATCTAATTTAAGTGTTTTTAGTTTCCCATCCAAAATTCCTATATCACCATTACATCTAAAATTATAGAGATTTGGTTTTAGACTCCAACCGTGGTCAACCCCATATCATCAAATACCCAAATCCTATTTTTCCACCAAAATTTTTGGTGAAGGAATTTTCATCTCCCACCCATCCACCATTTTCCTATTTTTTTTCCACCAAATTCTATTTTTCCTACCAAATATAGAGGTGCAAATATGATTTGGTGTAATTAACACCATTTTATTAATTAGCATATAAATGATGATTTTAACTAATTGAACATGGTTACTGACTTAATTAGCATATGGATAAATTAGCATATAGGTGATGATAATACTAATGGTGAATGAGTTATTTTTTATGATTTTAAATTAATTTTGTAATATTGTTATTTATACAATAATTTATGAGATTATTGGTTATGTATAATTTTATTACATGTAAAATAATTTGAGTTCTTGTTATTTTATGTCTAGATAGTTTTGTAAAATTAATAAAATAATTTTTAATTTATATAGTTAAAAAAAATTATTGCTTAAAATTGGATCTATAATTAATATTTAGGAAATAAAATATACTAAAGTTACGATAAGCATTAGATTTATAGTTTTGGGGCATATATAGTGAAATGCTATGGGAGACCAAACCAAATCCCATTTCATATAAGTGGTGAAATATTATTATTTTTAATATTTGGTCTAAATTTTGGTGAGACTAGGGGTGAAAGTCGGATGAATCGAATCGGAATTAGCCTTTTCGGAAAATTTTCAAAAAATTTCGGAAGCACAAAATCAATTCCAATTCCAATTCCAAAACTTTCGGAATCTAAAAATTCATTCCAATTCCAAAAGGCCCGGAAATTTCGGAATTTCGGAAAAAAATCGGAAATCACATAAGATTTAAAATTTCAAAACTATTTTCGAAAATGTTCATCATTTGTCAAAAATAAGAACATTCACGTCCATAAAAGTAAAACTAATAACTACAATTTTTTAGTTCGAAAAGATAAATAAAAATAAATACAACGTAACATCCAATAAAACTTCTAACAAAAATTCATTATGTCAAAATCCTAAAACAAACTTATAGGTATATTTTTCGGAAAATAAATATATTATATAATATATAGTATTTATAGGTGTAATTTTTGGGAAAAAAACGGAATCTTTCAGAATTAATTTCGGAATTAAAGCGGATCGAAAATCGGAAATTCCAAATAAAGTTTATATAATTCCAATTCCAATCCAAAAAAATCGAAAAAATTCGGAAATCGAAATTTCGGAAGTCGGAATGAAAAAAGTTGTTCCAAAATCGGAACTTTTCGGATCGGAATCGGCGGAAATTGGAAATTCCGTTCCAATTTGCACCCCTAGGTGAGACCTATTGGAGACCAAAAACCCCATTTTCTATCAAAAATGGTAGAAAGGTAAAATGGTGTGCTACCGGTGGGAGATGAACCCATTTTTTGACCACAAAAAATGGATTTTGGTGAAAAAATGGTTAAATCGGTCGGAGATGCTCTTATAAGATGTTTTTAATGTTTTTGTGCAAGTATAAGGGAAAAAGAAGAACTGTGTTGGAGGGGCGAGGAGAAACGATTTTGGGCTATTCTGTTTTTAGAGAGAGAAAATAATTTAATTATGTGTATGATTTAGTAATGTTCGTGTGGAATTTCATATTTCCGTAGTGTAATATATATATTTTTAGGGTAAATTACACCCACACCCCTGAGGTATGCTTAAATAACTTTAAGGTCCATGTGGTATCGATAATTACACTTACCCCTGAAACGTAGTTAGAAACTCTAATGAGATAATGCATTGGATACGTTAATCCGATAGAGTTCTAACGGATTATTGGTTTCAGGAAGTGGTGAAGACAACAAAGAGCTATGGGTGATTTAAGAAATGTTGGGGATCCATGTCACCCCATAATTATATGTTGTCTCTACTACTAGCTAAAAGTAATAGTCCGTTAGAACCCTATCGGAAAAACATATCCAATGCTTTCTAACTACGTTTCAGAGGGTGAATGTAATTACAGGGGGTAAAAAATAAATAAAAATAACAGTATGTAAATAAACACTGATAATTGATAAAAGAAAAAAAAGAAAAAAAGAAAAAAGAGTTAGCAATTAAACGAAATTAGGGCAACAAAAGAAAAAAAACAATAAAATGAAAAGGAAAAAGATAATTACGATAATATCCCCAGTGCTGTAAAAAGTGGTATAAAAGCTCGACAGTTGCTAATTCCAGTTTCTTCTGTAAAACCCTTCTTCCTCCAAAACCCTAATTTCTGCGTCAGTGGTCCGCCCGCCGCTCGCCGCTCGCCGCCCGCCCGCTGCCGTCCTTTTATGTAAGAGCAAGCTCTTAATTTAACTTCATCGCAAGAATGCTACTTCTATTTGAAACCCCCGCTGGATTTGCACTATTCAAAGTCTTGGATGAAGCAAAACTCTCCAAAGCTGAGGTGCTCTTCGTTTCATTTTTTGAATCCTTAACTTGTTTGTTTTTCTTTGTTTTCTCATTTGCTGATTTATCTTTTTTAAAATAAAAATAAAAATAAATATTATGTTTTGCAGGACTTGGGGAAGGAGTTCTCATCTCCTGACTCTGCGCGACAGGTTTTGATTCTGAATCTTCTTATTTTTTGTTGGCTGATAATACGTTTTGAAAAATGAAGTGTATTATTATGTGTATCAAATATATATAGTGTTTTTGTTTCTGGGTTCGTTTTCCCTGCATATTAGGGATTGTATATAGTGTTTTTGCTTATGGGTTTTTTCAATATGGTTTTTGAAATTACATTTCTTCGTTTCTTTAACATTTTTGGATTTTTATTTGTGTATCTTCAACTGGGGTATTGTTCTTTTTTAATGGTTCTTGTTGTTTCTGTGTTTTTTGGATTAAAGGTTCGTTCTTTGCGTGATTCCTGGGATTTTACTTTTTAGAAATCTTCAGCTAGTTAACAATTTATATATATTGGAAGTGTCTGCATAATTTCATTCGATATCTCACTGACATTTGAAGGTTCTTAGTTCGGTTACACATAAAGTACGATGTCTCATGCTTTCATGAATCCAGAAATACCAGAATTTTGTGTCATAAAATAAGATTTTCCTTTTTTGTTTTCATCAGCAAATGATTCCAAGAAATTTTAGATTGGAAGTTGTTAAGTTGTTTTTCGCTTATAGTTTTCATTTTTACTATCAAATGAATTAGTATTCGAGACCTAAAAAAATGTCAATTTTTCTTTGTATGCATCTAATCAGCACTTGTTTTTTTTTTTTAAATTACCAACAATAGATTGTCAAGCTAAAAGCTTTTTCCAAGTTCGAGAACACGTCCGAGGCTTTATCAGCTGCTACACTATTGATTGATAGTAAGCCCAGCAAAGGTCTTCGCAAGTTCTTGCGCAGCCACTGCGACGATGACATTTTAGCTGTAGCCGATTCCAAGCTTGGGAACATAATCAAAGAGAAGCTGGTTAGTTTTCAACAAAAAAAAAAGAAAGCATTCTATTTAATTAATCAATGCTTTTATTGCAGCCAATGATGTGCCTTTGTTGCTTTTTTATAATGATTGTTTATTCCTCGCAGCAAATTGAATGCGTCCACAACAATGCTGTCATGGAACTGATGAGAGGAGTGAGAAGTCAACTCACTGAACTTATATCAGGTCTGGCTACACAGGATTTGGCTCCAATGAGCCTTGGTTTATCTCACAGCTTATCGAGATACAAATTGAAATTCAGTCCTGACAAGGTGAATTGAATCTCTAATTCTTGTATACAGTGGATTTTCAGTTCTTGAAATTGCCTAAAGAAAAAATCAGTTTGATAACCGATAAACCTGATAGAAAACTCTACCTTAGGAGATGTTGTGAAGAAAAAAAAAAACTAGATGAACATTAAAGATACATATTCTGAAGCCGACTTGTGATTGTTAACACGATTCTCGTCTCTACGACAGCACCCATAAAATGATTATTTCATAATGTCTGTATTTATTGTTTTGAATTGATGGATTTTGATGGTTGTTATTGTAGGTTGATACGATGATAATACAAGCCATTAGCTTGTTGGATGACCTCGACAAAGAGCTAAACACATACGCAATGAGGGTTAGGGAGTGGTACGGTTGGCATTTTCCGGAACTTGCAAAGATCATAGCGGACAATATCCATTATGCAAAGACAGTCAAGTTGATGGGAAACCGTACGAATGCTGCCACGCTTGATTTCTCTGAGGTGTGTAGATCTAGCTTCTCTTTTCTCTTTACTCTGTCCCTTGTCAACAATAATATAACATATATAAATATGCAAATATTTCAAAGAAAATAATAAACAGTCAAGTGTAAAACCAAGTAACAGTCACATAAACAGAGCAATTAGGTGTGCCCCTATAGCCCTATTCATGCATTGCACATAAAGTCGAAGTCAAAATTTCTCAAAAGATCTTCTAAAATATCTGCTTCAAGTTCTAAGCTTTTGGATTTCTATCCGATTTGGATAATACTTTTGCTACTAAATTATCGAGTTCTTGTCATATGCCAATCTTGGTTGTTTTCTTGTTACAAGTCTGTTTGAGAAATGCATGGTTTGTGTTGTTAATAGAATCTGCCACAGCTCGAAAATAGGGATTTTTATTTTATTTTTTATTTCTTGCAAATTAAACTGTCTTGTGTTTTTCACTTTAATTTGTTGTGCTTACACGTGATCTCAAATGTTGCAGATACTTCAAGAGGAGGTGGAGGCAGAACTGAAAGAAGCGTCAAATATTTCCATGGGAACTGAAGTCAGTGACATGGATTTGGACAACATTAAAGATTTATGCAACCAAGTTATTTCTCTAGCCGAATACAGAGCTCAGTTGTTCGACTATTTGAAGAGCAGGATGAACTCCATTGCCCCAAATCTCACTGCCCTTGTCGGAGAATTGGTTGGTGCTCGATTGATTGCACATGGAGGCAGCTTAATCAATCTTGCTAAGCAACCCGGAAGTACAGTTCAAATTCTTGGTGCAGAGAAGGCCCTTTTCAGAGCTTTGAAGACAAAGCATGCAACTCCTAAATACGGGCTTATATATCATGCTTCTTTAATCGGTCAAGCTGCACCCAAGCACAAGGGTAAAATTTCACGATCTCTCGCTGCAAAAGCAGCTTTGGCAATTCGATGTGATGCTCTTGGAGAAGGTGAAGACAACTCTATGGGTTTGGAGAGCAGACTTAAGGTACACTTCGACTTGTAATTAATTGTATAGTGTTACAAGAATTACGATTTAACTTCAGTTTGTTATTTTTGTTATAGCTCGAAGCTCGTCTGAGGAACTTGGAAGGCAGAGAATTGGGCCGTTCGGCTGGGTCTGCTAAAGGCAAACCAAAGATTGAATTTTACGACAAGGACCGCAAGAAAGGATCGGGTGGAATGATTACTCCAGCAAAGGTGTGAATCAGTTTATTGTAGTTAATATGCCTTTTTAATATTATCGGATTTTTTTTCTTATTTAGATGTGTAATAATAACAATCCTTTTGTTTATCTTCAGACATACAATCCAGCAGCCGATTCGATTCTAGGACTAACAGAATCGTTGTCCGAGAAAGTTGAAGAGAAGGCAGCTGCTGATGTGCCTGTTGTTGAAGAAGAGCAGAAGAGTAAGAAGAAGAAGAAAAAGAGAGACGAAACAGAAGATGCAAATGGTGAAGTAGTTGAGAAAGAAGAAGTTGGGAAGAAGGAGAAGAAGAAAAAGAAGAAGGATGTAGCAGACGATTCGGTGGAGTTGGCCAAGGAAAACGGTGACGGAGCAGAGAAGAAGAAAAAGAGGAAACACGCAGAGGTTGACGGAGAAGGTGATGAAGCAACCCCTAACAAGAAGAAAGAGAAAAAGAAGAAGAAAAGCAAGGACTGAAGTTGAACGGATTTCCGGACACACCTTTTTGTATACTTGAGGTCGGACAATTTTGTTTTTTGTTGAATTTAGATTTGGCGTTTTGTTTCAAACGAAATGTTTGACCATTATGAAACTATTTATTGTGTACGTGATGATTTGTGTTGTTGAAACAGCTTTTAGTTCTAGTGGGAAATATTTTGAGTTATTATGTGGTGTTGTATTGACATTAGGTATTTTATTTCTATGGGGAGAAAAATGTTGTTTAAGCTTTATTTGTTATTGTGAGACGAGCAGAAATCCAACTGTGGAACTAGTATTCATTGAAAATTACAGTTTCCGATTCTTCAGTGAAAATCACAGTTTTCGATTCTGTTTTCTCCAATAAGGCCCAGTTTGGTTGGGCTGATCCGGGTGGATAGCTCCTCTAATCCACTCGGATCTCAGCTTTGGTTAAGCTAAGCCCAACTGGGTTCTGGATTGCACTTGGGCTCGGGTCCGGATCCTGGATTTACTGGATCTCCCATCAGGCTAAAGGAGGCGAGATTGGGTAATCTCATCCAACTCTCAGCCCAATCAAGTACAGTATATTCTTTTGTGCCCTAAATATTTATTTCTAATTACAAGACTACCCCATATATATATGAATTACCCCAAAAATTATTGTGTTAGCCCTAGAATTTATTTTACCGACATAGCAATACACGCCGTTCTTCGTTTATCTGCTTTTCTCCACTGTGATCGGTAGTTTTTTCACCGAGGTAATTTTTCCGATAATCGACTCATCTAGGTTCTCTAACACGCCCCTTTCTTCGTTTTTTAGGCCCCCCTCAACCGGAGTAATCACAGATTGATTTCACAGATTGCTTCAAATGCATCCGAGTATTGTTGAAGAATTTTGGGTTCATACGGGTTTCGATTTTTTTATTGTTCTCATCATCCGTTCCTTCATCTCGTAATTAAATTTATTTGTTTCCGTTTCGCAGGTGATTTTCGATTTTGGTTTCGAAGTAGTTCGTAGTTTGGCCGCCCGCTTCTGTTCCGCCCCAACGATTCCGGTGTTGCAGCTAGTTGACGGTTGGCTGTTGATTATCCCGGTTCTGCTACACGACGATTTAAGTTGAGTTCTCCAATGGGTTTAAGCACTTCTTTTATATTACAGATTAAGGATTGAGAAAGGTAACATTTATTTGGAAGAAAAAAAATTATCTTTTTTTTTGGGAAAAAATAGTACATTATCTCATTCTTGGTTGGACTATGATACGGGCCATTCTGACCAAAGTAAACAAACACGAAATAGAGAAGAACCGAGTCACTACAACAAGAAAAGTTATCGAACTATGATCTCGGCACGGCGAGCTAAGACTTCGGAGTACCGTAGTTCGTAGTCAATATTAAGAATAACCAAAATATAACGAAGAAGAGGTGCGTAAACCCTAAACATGCCCAGATTGTAAAGGCCCAGAAAATGTGACTTGGAGAGTGAGGAAACCCTAAAAAAGGAAACTTTGGAGGCCAAGAAAGAATCCTCTATAAATAGAGGAAACATCATCTTTCCACACACACACCTATTTACATTACAACAATAATATCCTAAAACACGTAACTGACTTGATCGTCCGAGCTTTCCCGCCGGGATCTCCCCCCGGCGTTGCAGGTACACCGACGGAAGAACTCTCTCAAGCCTTGAACGTGGAAGAAGCCTCACGGACGAAATCAAGTGGCGCCGTCTGTGGGAAGGCCTGAATTCTTGAATACACAATTTCCGGGAAAACACCATATCTACCCCCGGGAGTCTAGATCTGAGCCATAGACGTAGAGAAAATGGAGCAAGGAGACACTATCATCCGAAACTTACAAAAGGAATTAGACGTAGCAGCTCGTGAGGTACTCGTCACTGAATCATCACCTATTCAAAAAGATAAATCGGGATGCAGCACAGTTACACCCACGAAGGAGGGCCAAACCTTTCCACTCTCGGGTAGTCATTCCTTCGAGTTTCAACATGGTGAGCCCGTTCCAAAGAAGCCGGTCACAGCCCCTGCCCAACCTCCAGCTAACGAACGCATGTATACCAAAAGCGAGGTAGAAGCAATGATAACCGCGGCCATTAGAAGCTATGCCCAGTCTTCACCACAAGAGAATAGGCCCAAAATAGATCTCAAGTGACCCACAAACGAAGAGCGAGCTGAAAACGAGTGTGATAGCTACTCGGAAAATAGAGGAGGTGACAGTCAAGATGTCCGGACCGAGGTCGACAGCTTGAGGCGAGACAAGAACAAGTTGAAGGCTCTCCGAAATGGCTTAACACGAACTCCCGAAGGAACGAGCCCGTTTGCCAAACACCTCGATAATGATCCTATACCGTCTAACTACCGACCTATTCTGTTCGAATATAACGGTACGACCGACCCGACCGAGCACCTGAGTCGATTCAACAACACGGCTTCCCTCCACCAGCTTACCGAGGGGGTGAAGTGTCGCGCTTTCGTCACTACTCTGGCTGGACCAGCTCATTCTTGGTTCGGCTTATTGCCGCCATAAAGCATACATTCCTTCGGGCAGTTCACCAAGGCTTTCATAAACCAATTCGCTAGTTCAAAAAAATGTAAGAAAACCTCGCTGTCGCTATTCAGCATTAGGCAAAGAGAGAAAGAGAGCCTCCGTAACTATATTAAACGTTTCACCTCGGCAACTCTCGAGGTTCCCACCACTAGTGACGAGGTACTAATGGCTGCTCTATCACAAGGATTAAGGGATGACGAATTCTTTCGAGCCTTAGCTTTGGAGCCATCACCCGATGACAACTTACTAGGAAGAGCATCTAGGTTCATCAATCTAGAAGAAGCTCGACAGCAAAAGGTAGAAGAATCCCATCAGGCCCTAAACCCCAGGTCAGGTGAGACAAGGAAGGGTAAAGAGCCTATCCCGCCGCGAAGAGACGTGACACCTGGCCGAAATAATGTCCTCGACGTTAAGGGCCCCCGATATCAGTCATATCAGCCCCTTACAACCCCTTTATCTAATGTTTTGTGTGCAATTGAGAAGAGAAATGACCTACGTTGGCCTCGTTTTGCCCGAGAAGAGCCTCGCCGAAGTCCTGCTTTGGGCACCTTTTGCCGATTCCATAATGAGTATGGCCACACGACGGATGAGTGTTCACATTTGAAAGACGAAGTAGAGCGTCTTATCAGAGATAACAAAATTGGAGATTTCGTAAAGATAGATCCCTCAAGAGGACAAAAGCGAGAGGCCCAGTTCGCAAACCCGACTCGAGTTCCTCCCCCACCTCCCATGCCAAAACGAGGATATATCCAGATGATCTCAGGAGGACCCACGGGAGGAGATACCCATCGAGCTAGGAGACGATACCTCGGTGATATTAAAAATAAACATGAGATCTGCCAAATCTCTGCGGCAACATATCATAAATACCCCCCTATCTCGTTCGGACCAGAGGACGCCGTAGACCTTGATGATTTTCACTGCGACCCCCTTCTCATCACAATCAACGTGGGTGGATATGATGTAGCTCGCGCTTTCGTCGACTCAGGGAGTTCCGTTGATGTTATTTCTTATGATTGTTTCCGACAGATGGAACTCGACCTCCCAATCTTCCCGGTTACTACCCCGATATTCGGATTCACGAGAGGATCCTTGATCCCAGTCGGACAGGTTAAAATACCAGTCACTATTGGGACGCCACCTCGCACGCGCACGCAAACCGTCAATTTTGTGATTGTCGAAGGGTCCCATCGTGATAGGCCGACCAATGATGCATATCTTCCGGGTAGTCTCCTCTTCTACACACCAAAACTCAAGTTCCCGGTAGATGGAGCGATAGGGGAGGTCAGAGGTGACCAAGCTCAATCAAGATCTTGTTACGTCGAAATGGTCAAAGTGGCAGAAAAATGGCGACGTGGCACTCTCGCTAAGGAGGACTTGGGAGACGAGAAGCGCCCCCGAATTGATCCTGAAGATAAAGTTACACACGTCCAACCGATGGATGAGCTACTGACAATCGATCTGATCCCGGGGACATCTAAACAAACTCGGATAAGTAAGGAATTAGATTTATCCTTCCGAGATGAGCTGGTAACTTTACTGAGATCTAATATGGATATTTTTGCTTGGCAACCAAGTGACTTAACCGGTATCGCACCTCGTACCGCTGTACATAGACTCAATCTGAAGCCCGAATACATGCCCATAAAACAAAAATGTCGCCACTTCGGAACTGAGAAGGATGACATCATCAAGCGGGAAGTCCAACGCCTCCTGGACATCGGGCATATCCGGGAATTCAATTCCCCACATGGCTATCTAATGCAGTGTTAGTCCAAAAAGCCAACGGACAATGGCGGATGTGTATTGACTTCCGGCACCTGAACAAGGCATGCCCCAAAGATGATTACCCCCTACCCCGCATAGACCAACTCGTTGATGCCACAGTCGGGTGTGAGCTGCTCAGCATGATGGATGCCTCGCAAGGATACCACCAGATCCCGTTGGAAGACAAAGACCAACCCGCAGTCAGCTTTATCACAACTACTGGTACCTACTGCTACGTGGTAATGCCGTTTGGCTTAAAGAATGTAGGGGCTACATACCAAAGATTGATGGATAAGATGTTCCAGGCTCAGCTCGGGCGCAATATAGAAGTATATGTGGATGACATGTTGGTTAAAAGCAAAAAGCGTTCAACGCACCTCGCCGACTTGGCTGAAACATTTGCCACTCTCCGCCTTTACAGAATGAAGCTTAACCCGGGAAAATGCGCATTCGGAGTTAAGGCTGGGAAATTTCTTGGATACGTAATTACGCAAGAAGGCATTAAGGTAAATCAAGACAAAGTAGAAGCAGTACTCCGGATGACACCACCTCGTTCCATTAAGGAAGTGCAGTCCTTAGCAGGAAAAATGGTGGCCTTAGGTCGCTTTATATCACGAATGGCCGATAAAAGTTTACCCTTTTTCAAAGTCTTGAGAAAGGCTGCCCAATTCGAATGGACTGACAAGTGCCAGCTCGCCTTTGAGGCGCTAAAAACATCGTTATCTCGTTTACCCATCCTCAGCACCCCCGAACGAAACGAGACACTTTTTGTATACTTGTCGGTGGGGGATGAAGCTGTTAGCTCGGTCCTGTTCAAAGAGGTGAATAACCGATAGTTACCAATTTACTATATTAGCAGGATTTTAACCAGCTCGGAAACGAAATACTCCGAAGTCAAGAAAATTGCCTACGTATTAGTCTTTACTACGCGACGCCTTCGACCTTACTTCTTATCACACACCGTTGTGATCCGCACGAGTTTGCCGCTCCGCCAGACCTTGGGTTAGTCAACGGCTTCCACGCGTATTGTGAAATGGGCCGTTGAGTTAGGACAATATGAGATTCAGTATCAACCCCGTACTTCGGTGAAAGGGCTGGCATTAGTGGACTTTATTCGAGAAACCATTAGAATACCCATTGAAAAAGAGTGGCAGGTTTATGTAGATGGATCCTCTACGGTATCAGGTGCAGGAGCAGGAGTCATAGTCATCGATCCCATGGGAGTAGAGCTCGAGTTCGCTATCAAATTACCGCGAGTTTTGAATAACGAAGCAGAATACGAAGCCATCATCCGAGGCATGGAAATCGCTCAAGAGCTCGGTGCCCAAGTTGTGCGTGTACATTCCGACTCGCAACTTGGTATACATGAGTTAGGAGGAGAATATGAGATAAAAAACGATAGAATGCGGAGTTACGTAGATAAAGCGAGAAATGTTCGAGAAGCCTTTGAGGTATGCACTATTTCCCAGATCCCAAGAAACAATAACCAACGAGCCGATTTTCTCGCTAAAATCGGATCATCAGTAATCGATTGTGCTGAAAGAAAGATAACTATCCTCATTGCTCCCACCCCGGCTCTCGAAATCATGATGCTCGAAGAAGAAAGGTCCGATTGGCGAGCCCCTTTATTCGCATATTTTCGAGGAGAACGAGTTGGAAAAGCTAAAGAACAACATCGCTTGGAATACCGAGCCCGACATTACTACGTGTGACATGGGATACTGTATAAAAGAAACTCACCACAGTCGATGCAAGGTGTTTGGGAAAAAGCGAAGTCGAGCATTACTTGGATGAGGTACATAGAGGAGGCTGTGGTGAACACGGCGGAGCCCGGACACTTATGCAGAAATTACACCGAGCTGGGTATTACTGGCCCGACATGAAGAAGGATACTCATCGCTACGTCAGACAATGCAAGAAGTGCCAGAGGTTCGCCCCACTTATACACAAACCGGGCGAGGAAATGATCATTATGAGTGCCCCATGCCCCTTCGCACAATGGGGGATTGATCTAGTAGGACATTTTCCACAAACGACTGGCGGGAAAAAGTTCCTCACTGTCGCACTAGACTACTTCACCAAATGGGTCGAAGCAGAGGCCCTATCGAAGATATCAGAGGACGAAGTCATGCACTTCATATGGAAAAATATTTGCTGCCGCTTTGGCTTACCTCGGAGCCCGGTGTCGGACAATGGCACCCAATTCAACGGAAAAAAGATTCGAGCATGGTGTGAGGAAATGAAAATCAAACAGAAATTCGTAGCAGTCGCACATCCTCAAGCCAATGGGCAAGTTGAATCCACGAACCGAACCATCGTCAACTGCCTTAAAAAAAGGATAGACGAGTTGGGACGAAGTTGGGTAGACGAAATACCTTTGGTCTTATGGTCTTACCGAACAACTGCCAGAGCTGCTACCAGAGAAACGCCGTTCCGATTAACTTATGGAACCGAAGCTGTTATCTCGGTCGAAGTGGCGATGGATACGCTTCGCATAACCACATTTGACAATGAAAAAAATGACGACGCCCTGAGGGTACAATTGAACGAAGTTTTCGACCTGCGAGAGGCATCCTACCTACATATGGAACGAAGCAAGAACCTGATCAAGGCCCGGTATGATCAGGGAGTCCGATCTCGCTCCTTCTAGATTGACGACTTGGTCCTTTGACGAGCTGATGCCCTGAAAAATACGGGTAAATTGGAAGCCAATTGGGAAGGCCCATATACGATTACCAAGTGCTTGGCTGGTGGCGGGTATGAATTGGCGGACATGGAAGGAAAAGCACTGCCACGAGCGTGGAACATAATCCACTTGAAGCGTTTCTTCGTGTAAAAAAAAAAACAAGAGAGAAAATCCGAACAAATAATAAACCGAGGTAAGATTAGCAGTATGCCGAGACGCATTTCCAAGATTCAGAAAATGGAGCTTGAAGACCTTTAAGGAAAAGCTTGCTTGTACAGTCATAAAGGACATTACCAACGAACAAGTACTAGAGACCCCCATAACTGAGACTGATATGGATCGTTCATTGTTGAGTGGCAATTGTGAAGAACAAGAAGTTAGTGAAAACGAGCCACGTGACTATGATGACGAGGAGAATGACGATTCAGAAGCAATAAACGAACTGCATGATAGTGAAAGTGAATCGGTTGATGCAGATGATGAGAATGATGACGAACTTGATCGTGATGCACCTGCCACAACAAGTCCCATTGAGCAATCTTCGGGGAACAAGAAACGAAAATATGTTGCCGAGCACAACGGTGATTTGTTGACACATAACACAATACTTGAGGCGAGGCTTGCATGTGCTTTACAGGAGGCAAAAGCACGGCAAACAAAAGCAACCAATGTTTCGGAACATAACAAAGAATTAGAGCACCGAATTAAAACCTCAACTGACCCACAGTTAGCTACAGAGTTGGAGGTTCTCCAAGCACGTCTGGAGTACGAGCTAGAAAAAAGCGCCGATCTTTCAGAACAAATACGAAAACTGACGGACGCCAACTAGAATCTACATACCACTATCCAAACGCTCGTCGCAGATAATGAGGAGTTGAAAGCTAAGAAGACAACCATAAAGTTGTGAAACAACAGCTTGGTAGAAGCAAAAAAAAGGCTCAACACAGAATCCAACAATGACAAGAAGAGTGACAACATCCAAGAACATGCTCGGAAGCCCGAAAATCAAGACATGCCATCATGGGACTTATTGTCTCAAACACAAGCTGCAACCCAAAGGCAATCAACCATTATGAGTACATCGAGCCTCGAAATAGTAGATCTTAGTACAAAATGTAAGATTTTGGAAGACAAACTAGAGGAACTGCTCAAAATAATTGAGGAGCAAGCAATGCAAGTCAAATCACTCACAAATGGTGATTGTGAAGACCAACCAATCACACATGGGGCAGAAGATGAACACTTCGACCTCACCACTTCGGTAATAAACTATGTTGAGAATGCAGAACCAGCTTCTGTTGTGGCAAGGAGGACTCGATCAAAGAGGAAAAATGTCACGCCATTTGGAAAAAATCATCTGATTGACGTAGGGAAGAATTACAAGAAATTCAAACCGTACAAAGACCTGTCAGAGGACTACAAAACCATTGTCAACATCATGGCTTTGTCGGATGACGAGATGAAGTAAGTGATTTTCTAGATTTATCTATTTTTTATTTTATTTTTTAAGGTTTATATATCGTTGTTTGATTTGAACTATTTATGGCCGTAAATAGTGTGTTTGATTACTGTTGAAAATTCTGGACTTTGTGTTAAACAACTATTTCAACCTAACTTAACTATTTTTATTTAGTAAATAAATAAATTTCCTCTTCAATCCCATCATATTAGGTAAACAACTATTTCAATATAAAACAACTGCTTGTCTTCATTAAAAATAATTTCATTTCCTCTTGAGCATAACTAGTCGGTTAAAAATCAATTTTCTCTAACCAACTATATTCAACCTTAATTTGCAGTAAGGTCCTGTGGAGATCGGATGACAAGCGTGTTTGCGTGTTCGTGACAGACATCTTTCACTGCCTGAAGAAACAATGCATAAGTCAATTGGTAAATGTAGTTGTGTTTAACATCCTCCACCAACGTGCAAGAAAAATAAAATAAAAACTAATAATCATCGGAAATTTGTACTGAATAACAGGTAGTTGACTCGTACAACAAGATTCTTTCCCTTGAGCAATGCAGAGGCACATTCAACCAAACAGCCCATTCAGATTTGAAAGGACCTAGTTTCGTCTTCCCCTCATACTTTCTGGTAACAAACGCATCACTAATTTTAATTCATAGTTCATACCAATTTTATTTTTTCAATTGAACCTTGTGTTGCAAAACTACATAAGGGGGAGGTCTGATGGAATGTTCGATCCACTCGATGACATCATTAACTACCGTTATCTCGTGTTCCCCATTCTCCATATTGGTACAACAGAAAATAGATGTCATGATTGTTAGAGTAGGTGACCAACAAGCCAACATGTGGCTGTGGTCTTTCGTATTTATTATTGTAATAAACGAACCTTTATTCGTATTAATGATAAAAACACCTTGGCATTCTATATCTTTGTCCCTTTGTCACAAGCATAGATATAGTCCTTACAGTTATTACAAGTACTAGTAATTGATCGTTAGGATCGTGAGATATTTACTTAAGTATTATAACTGTTAAACGTGTTCGTAGTCGAAGGGTTACGCCACTAATGAGGATATCGGCCTTTCCCATTAAGACTAGCACTTAGTGTATGTGTACTGCATCTCATCAGTAAACGGTATTGTGATATCGGCATGCATAAGTGGGTGCTCGTAAGTTGACGAGTTCACTGAACTCCCTCACCCTGGAAATCTCTAAGTGGTTCCCAATAATCGAGTAGAGATATCTATGGTATAGTTGTACACCATTAGTCCTTATGACCTAGACATCACCGTGACTTCACTAGAGGACCAACTGTATCGTGACCTGTCCCTGAGTTCCACCGAGGACCATCCCAAGGGCCAGTGTTCGTGCAGTCCGAAATCTAGTGGGAGGTCTGTGCATTGTAGTCGGGGATTCGATCGCTAGAATAGTCTTGGATGTCCTGTGTGTTCTGAAAGTTTGTAATCATTCTAAGTCTCTGGCCAGAGCTGACTAAGTGATGATTAGAGAATTCGATTCTCTAAGTCATGCACGTAAGGATTACAACACTTAGAACGATCGCACCGTCATCGAACATATAAAGAGGTCTCGATGAACCAATGCCTCTAGTTCGATCGGGACATATGAATCGAAGGGACCGTACTGTACGTTAACTATATCTGAAGGTTCTTGCAGGCACTTCATTTGTATCTAGGGAATCATGACGCGTAGTTGCTAGACGCCAATCTTGATTCGTTGGGTGATTGAGGTGAAACGAGCTTCATCTTAATCGTAACTCGAAGGGGACGAGTTTTGACCACAAAGGGTTGTGGGCCCACGGCTAGCTTACACCTGAACCATCGAGGGTCACACTGCTCGTGCACATGAGATCTTTGAATAAACGGTCAGAGATAAAATAGTTTATCTTTGCATGATTGGAAGTCAATATGATTGAGTCCAACATTCGTAATTTGGAATTATGAATGAGAATAAGAAAAGGAAAAGAATAGGCGAACGTGTTAGTGAACTTTCTAAATCGGGAAGTTTCCAAATTTAGAAAGTGCACTGAACTAGGGTTTCCACTTTTGGAAAGTTGGAAAATGAAAGATGGCACTCGTAATGACGAGGAAATTATAATGATTCCGAAAATGTAATCGTTGCAATTTTTCGGTCATTGAATTAAGAGAGACGAGCAAGTGAAAGTACTAACGGACTTAGCTGTTGGGCCCGGTCCAACTTAAGCCCGTTAGGGTTTTATGCAAGACATATAAATACTTGATTTATA